GAGATGTCCTCAAAAGTCCTGCCTCGGGTCTCTGGGACTTTGAAGAAGGTGAACAGCCAGAAGATAATAAGGAAGACGGCGAAGATGATAAAAACGTAGGCTCCTAAAGCGGCTGCAGCCGTGGGGAAGAGCAGTCCAACCAAAAAGTTGGAGGTCCAGTTAGAGCAGCCGGCGACAGCCATAGCTGCCGGGCGGGGTCCCTGGCTGAAGAGCTCCGCCACGATGAACCAGGGGATGGGGCCCGGCCCGATCTCAAAGAAGGCCACGTAGACCAAGATGGCCACAATGCAGATGTAGCTCATGAAATTGTAATTGTCCTGCAGAGGGAGGGAGGGAGGGAAGAGACAGTTAAAGATACCATGAGTGTGCTGGTGGTACAGGCACCTGAGGGACCCAGGCAAGAACCTGGGCTTTGGCAGCCCTAGCTGTGATGTTTCACATCTGCCACTTTCCACTGAGACTACATCATCCCCTATAAAATGGGACTACTGGGGCCGGGAGATGGCTCAGTATAATAAGCGCTTGCTTGGTAAGTGCAAGGGCAGAGTTCAATCCCTGGTTCTGGAAAAAAAAAACAAAAAAACAGGGCTGGTGAGATGGCTCAGTGGTCTAAAGCACCTAACTTAGAACAAGTTTAGCAAAAACACATGGACCGCGGTTCAATCCCCAGCACCACATGCCAGCCAGCCCCGCCCCCTGGTGGGCTGAGCTGGCCACACACACACACACACACACGCAAAAATAAATAAAAAAAATTTAAAAAACAAAAAACCAAACAAACAAAAAAAAAAAGCCCACTACCTCAAGACCACTTTTTTTTGAGAGACAAGGTCTCTCTATGTAGCTCAGGGTGGCCTTGAACTCATGGTGATCCTCCTGCCTCAACCTCCTAACTGCTGAGACGGAGGCATGCGTCACAAGGCCGGGGTCAAATTTGGCTTTGCCAGCGATCTTCAATGTGAGCTACCTGTGCTGCACTGGCGCCCAGGACCTCTCAGCACCGCCCTTCTAGCCGCCTGCTCTCACGGGGCACTCACCTTCAGTAGCAGTGAGACAGTCATGGTGATGGAGCACACAGCCATGCCGCCGAGGCCGATCATGTGCAGGCTCCTCCTTCCCACCCTTTCCACCAGAAACACCTAGAACGACAGACACTGCTTGTGCCTCTGTCCTTGCCACAGACCCCTCTCCAGTCCCCACATGGAACCTGGCTGTAGCCCACGCCACATTTCCTGGGAGGGTAATTACACCCATCACACAATGCTGGTTTTCCTCAAGGGAAAATGAACACAATTTTTAACACGGTGGCTAGGAGGCTGCGAGTTTAGCCTCATACCTGTGAGGTCCTAGAGAACCCTTCCGCCCCCAGACCATCCTGCCCTGCGACTTACGGACACCACAGTGAAGATGGTGTTGACCACGCCCGCACCGATGGTGGCGTAGATGGGCTCCTTGACGCCCGCGTCCTTGAAGATTCCCGTTGAGTAATAGAACACCTAACAGGGAACAAGTGGTATTTTGCTGATCGTATGTAACAATTCGACAGAATGCTCAAAAAAATCTCAGGTGAGTTCTGGAGTCTCCGTAACATTTTTTTCTACATAAATGCCTGCTGTACAAGGTCCTGAGTTTCATCCCTGGTACAAAATTAATTCTGCAGGGGCTGGTGAGATGGCTCAGTGGTCTAAAGCACCTACTTAGAACAAGCTTAGCAAAGCACAGGGACCTCGGTTCAATCCCCCAGCATCACATGCCAGCCAGCCCTGCACGCTGGTGGGCTGAGCTGGCCACACACACACACACACACACACACACACACACACACACACAGAGAAATAAATAAAATTAAAAAAAAAAAAAAGAAGTGGAATGAGTAACCTCAGGCAACCCCCCTCTTTTAGATAAAGGGTCTTTCTAAGCAATTCAGGTACAGGCTACCTCCACTGTGGAAGCCCAGTCTGGCCTTGAAATTGAGGCAATCCTCCTATCTCAGCCTCCAAGCTGTTGGAACCACAGACATGTGCCGCCACATCCCTTTAAGCCTCATTTGTTAAAAGGTTGAGGGATGGGAAAATAGATGGTCCATCTGCCTGGAAAGATCAAGGACCCGGGTTCAATCCCCAGTACCACATGCTGCATGTACCAGCCCCATGCCAGGCTGGCCATGAAAAGCGGGTACAGTAGTGCACCCCTGTAATCCCAGCACTTGGGAGGCTGAGACAGGAGGACCACTAGGATTCTGAGCTGCACAGTGAGACCCTGTACCAAATAAGTAGAAACAAGAGCTTGAGCTGGATTTCCTAGGAAACTAGGACATAAGGTACTAACTTTAAAATATACTATGATGGGGCTGGGGAGATGGCTCAGTAGAATAAGCGCTTGCCTGGCAAGCGCAAGGGTCTGAGTTCAATCCCCAGTTCCGAGAAGGGAAAAA